ATTTTGTAAGCTGATGTGCACCAACACCAATTGCAATCATCAGAGCTCCCCCATTCCCCCTGCAATTCCCACCTGGTGTTCTCACCTCAGGACAAATCCCATTGCCAATCAGGGATAACTGCAAGAGAGAAGGAGTTGAAGACTTGACTATCTTTGGTCGCTGCCTCAGCATTTCATTAGGAACAAATGAAAATATTTCTATTATGTAGTTCAAGAAGGGTTAAAAATAAATCTGCCGCTCCTCAACACTCTCTCCCTGTAAATACAAAAATCACACCTGGATGTATGTGACGTAAGTATTAGCAGAAAGGAAATGACAATATTACAGTGGTACAGCTCACCTGGTAAGCTGGCTCCATTAAAACAAGTCATGTTAACACTGCTGAATACCTTCAAAGCTAAAATATAAGTCTTCTGGACCATTTCCATCTGAAGAAACTCAAAGAGAGAAGAGGCTTACCATAAGTGTCCAATGTGATTCTGTGACAGGAAAAACAAAAAACACTGCAATCCTCAGATACACTGATCAACAGCAGATTAGTGAATAGTAGTTGGTGTGGTGGAATCATTTACTTTTGTATATAGCACAAATGGGGAGAATATTTGAAGTTGCATAAACGGTGTCCTGAAACCCACAAAGGATCCAAACAAATCAAATTACCAAAAACTGAGAGCTAGAGAAAGCAGAGAGCAGAAGATAACAAATTCTGAATGTTTAATTCATTAAAAATAAACGTGGTAAAGACTTGAGGACAGTGTAAAAATTCCCTCAGAGAAAAAACAAGATGAATAATGAAATGGTTCTTTACTTTACTCAGGGAAAACATATCAAAAAGTAACAGCTATTCCTACTCTTTATTACAGCAAAAATCATCCTGCAAAAATAGGAAGGAATATATGATAATCTTTGAAACTCACAAACAAAAACCTAACAAAACAAACAAAAAAGACCTTCAAAAAACCCACTTCACTTATCACACTACAGAAACACTTATTCATCAATAGAGTTATACAAATAGGAATCCAGAATCTTACAGCAAAATTCATCTGTGAATAATCTGAAAGAAATTTTCAAGAATCTATACTCCATTTTTGCATACTGTTTTTACCATAACTGATAGATTTTCTTATTCAGAGGATACTTGAACAGAATAAAATAAAATGTAAATCAGAAGCAAATATGCAGTTCTTTACATTTTTTTGAAAACTAAATATCAAAAAACCAATGCACCCTACTGGCTGCGTTATGGAAGACACATAGCATATTTTTATTTTGAATACACATTAAATTCAAATAAAATTAATTTAAAAAGTAACTGATTCTCATCAAGTAACCAAAGGGAAACAGCAAATATGTGAAATATGAAGTAGAGAAAATACAGTCTCAATCCAAGGACCTTTTTTCATTTATTCTCATTAAAACCATAACAATATTAAATTAAACAATTAAATTTTGCGGTAATTTTTAATCCATTCTTCTTGTTGGAACCTTGCTAACTAAAAAGGGTTTTGGCTAGTTTTGAGGATCAATGGTTGGATGCAATGACCTTAATAGTATTTTGCAGCCTAAATGATTCTATCATTACAGCTAAATGTAAACATGTAAATATTTCCACTGAAGAACAGACTACACAGTGTCTGTACATTTAGCATTATTTGCTTCTTGCATAGTTCTAGCGTTCTTAAGTAGCTCCTCTTACTGCTTCTTACAGTCACAGCTTAATGATTTTATTTGGTCTCCACTGGAGCTGCAGATCTACCTCAACATTACTATTTCCTAAGATTTTCCTACCATTCCTAATTACCAAGCAGAGAACAGAGACAGATAGGCTGCATATTTATTTCTGTGTGATTCTCTTAATGAGTCATAACTAATCATGCCATTCAAGCAATTAAAACATACATTTAGATAACTGACACTAGCTATCTAAATGTAAATCTAGCCCTGTGTTCCCAAATCATATAATGACTTACAAAAACAGTGGTGGCACGTGACATGTAGGTAGTTTCCAGCTGGAGAGAATATGTCTGGGATTTTTTTAATTAAAAATTACTAACAAGTTTTGCAGCCCTCTTACATCTCCTTTAAAATTCCTTTCTATTAATTTATTAAGATTTTTTAATATTCCTAAGTATATACTTAACTTCCTAGCTCTGATCAGGCTACATAAGACATAACACGACCAAGGGGAATGTGATACAGATTCGTGCAGTTGCTGTTGGAATGCCATGGAGTGATTAACACTGACCCTGTTGCTCATTGAGAGTGCACTATTAGGATATGCAAAGTAACTTACATGGGGATGGAGAAAGGCTGTATTCCTATTAGCATTCATGGCAGCTCCAGTCTTGTTCATCAAGTTTGGAATATACCCTTTTGTTATTGATGGGAAAATGTCACTAGTTACAAATGGTAACACACAGGGGTGCACAAGGGTCAAAGCAAACTCCAATACTTTCTTTCGCCCTCTAAGGCAGAGTGCTGCTTCAGCAGTTCTTTTTTGACCTGATAGTACACCTTTTTAGATAAAAGAAATGGTGAAATTCCCTGTCCTGATCTTTTCTGTAGCCTCACCTCTCAAAGATTAAAGAAAACCTCCAAAAGGATATGCCATTAGTGGCGTATGATGGGACAATCATTAGACACCACTGCAAACATCACTGCATATGAAGTCTGCCTTCAAACAGCTCCTCTCCAGGTCCACCCACCACTCTGACGGGTCTCATAAAACAGTCTTTCAACAGCATGAATAGGGTCTGAGTCATCAGTTTCCCAGCTACAGACAACTACAGTCGCTTCACTTCTATTACTGAAAGCTTTCTTTAAAAAACAAAACTGCTTCTTGCTGCAGATATCCCTTGCCAGATGTGGCATTACACCTCTTTATATATGGAATCCTGACTCACTAGGTTAAAATTAATTTTCTTCAACTTGAGATCCCATGAGAAAACTCAGGGTTTATTGGGAATTCATTCAATTCTGTCATCTTAAGTATTGCTCTTTCTGGAAATACAGTTGGTGGAAGATTCATTCTACTTGCATAAAGACATAAAATCATTCTGGGACTTCTACAAGTATGTTCACACATTTGTCATGTAATCTAACTATTTAAGTTTGTTGGAGTGAGGCTGTATCTAAGCCTTCAGTGCAGCTATGCTAATCAGCACAAGCTGTGCATCTGACCCATGATAAAAATAGGAAGCTTATTGCTGAGCAGGCTTTGATTGGGAAGATGCTATGAGAGAAGAAAAGAAATTGCCCTTCGAGAAGACACCACGCTGCTCGCCGTTAATTACATCTAAGACACTCAACAAGGAAAATGTTACATGGGGCCAAGTGCCAAGAAAATATCCCTAGTTAGGTTACTAAATGGTTTGGAAATTGTCTCTTGACTCGTAAGAAACTTTGGTTTGAGGAAATTCTAATTACACTTGGCATCTACTGCAATATTTTAACAAATGCAGAATAAGAAAGCCTGAAAATGAGGAATGTCCAACTTCCTCCAGGTAGGAAATCCTGTTTAAACATTAGTACTATTCCATGGTTCTCCACAAAGGGCAGTGATCTGGGCAGACTTCCTTGAAATGGCCAGATCATTATTTTAGGCTTACTGCTGACTTCTGTACCTGAGAATATTTATATTCTTTCAGGCACCCTTCTCTTACAACACAGAAATTCTATGCTCTTGAGAACATTTATGCAAAAGGTATTGCTTTTCTTGTAGATGCTATTTAGCTAGAAAAAGCCTTAGGAATTTTTAATCACATTGAATCACATTAAATCACATTTTTAATTACATTTTCATTTTAACTGATCCATCCCTCATTCACAATAGAACACTATTTTAAGGTAGCTATAGATATATGTATGTGTATATATATATATTTACCCTTTAAAATAGGGTAAGACACAAGAAAACACTGCAGCTTGATAGTTTATTTTACAATGTCTGGAAACGTGGCTCCAATCAAGTTTCTGCGGGTGTGAAGGTGACACTCAATAGAGCTACACAATTGTTAGCTCTTATGTTTATGTCCCTCCGACTCAAGTCATCTAGTTTTCAAAACTCAAACACATTTCTAGCCACCTTGGCTGTTCAGGAAAGCCTGGGAACATCATATAACAAAGCTCAAAAACAAAAAGAAAAAACCCCATTATTTAAAATTACTTTAAAATTAGATTTAATCTTTATAGGAATCAGACTTACAAATGCATTTGTCTTCAGCAACAATGCAATCATTTGTTACAACGTATTTAGCCTAGCCTTAGAGCTATGAGTTTTTGTAAGAAATATTGTACTTGCTCCTGCTGTAATCAAAAACTTCCTTCTAAGGCTGTGTCAGGAGAAACCCACACTGCGTTAAATTTACTAGTTAAGACTAGGAAGTCTGTCTATTGCCTCAGCACCCCAACAGCTGCTGACAGTCCTTTAGAGTGAAAATTACTAGGGGAGGAAAGCTGAAATACCTACAGGGCTCAATTTACGGTTTCTCTCGTTACAAACATACATCAACGTGGGCTGCACACCTGTAGCTCTGCAGGACCAGTCCTGAGGGGACAGGTGTGGGGGCATAAAAGGAAACTGCCCGGCAACTTCTGAGGGCGCAGCAGTGCAGGACTAGCAGGTACAGGATGTGCAGAGGAGCTGCGAATACTTAATAAGCAAAAAGGGGTCTCTTACTGGCCCAAATACACGGCAGCTTCGTACCCGAGCAGCCTCCATTTCTTCACAAAGAGGATCAGCAAAAGCAAAAAGAAAACCCCATGGCTGAACTCGCACAGGGGCGGCTCGAGTGGAAGTGGAGGTGAAGCGCCTCCCAGAACAGCGCCCCGGCCTCCAGCGCCGGGCGGCCCAGCGGCAGGACCGGGACACGCGGGCGGCAGGACCGGGACACGCGGGCGGCAGGACCGGGACACGCGGGCGGCAGGACCGGGACACGCGGGCGGCAGGACCGGGACACGCGGGCGGCAGGACCGGACTCGTCCCCGGGGGTGGTGTAGCCCCGTCATGCCCGCACGGACAATCCCGCCGGCGCTGCTTCCCGCTCGCCGGCCTTCCTCAGAGGGCGGGGCGGGGGCGGCGCTGCGGACGTGGCGGCGCGGCGGCCATAACAGAGCGAGGCCATGCGGGGCGGGGGCAGGCGGGGCCCTTCCTCCCTCTGCCCCCCCACCCCCAGGGGCCGGCGGGCGCTGGGCGGGGGCGGGGACGAAGAGGAGGAGGAGGAGGAGGAGGAGCCGCCGCCGCCGGGGTGGGGCTCGCCTTGGAGGGTGCCACGCCCGCGGTGCGTTGTAGGGCCGCCTGCGGAGTATGGCCGGTAGGGGTGCGGGCAGCGGCCCGCAGGGACCCGCCGTGGCGCAGCCGCCCGCCGGCGGTCACCTGTACCCCGTGGTGAGCGCCGAGAGCGAGGGCCCGGAGGAAGAGGGTGAGGTGTCGGAGCTGCGGCCGCGGGGCAGGGAGAAGGTCCGGCGGAGCACGTCCAGGGACAGGCTGGATGACATCGTGCTGCTGACGAGGGACATCCGGGAAGGGGACACGCTGAACGCGATCGCGCTGCAGTTTTGCTGCTCGGTAAGGGCCGTGGGGACGCCGCGGGCCTCAGGAGTGGAAAATGACGTCAGGGTGTCACTGTGGCAGCAGCGTTCCGGTTCCGTGGGCTTTAACCCCGAAAGCTACTGAAAGCGCACGAAACAAGTGCATAGCTTTGCTTGTGGCGCTCTGAGAGACCGCACGTTACAGTCAAAGGTCGTCACTTCAGTGCCATCCTCGCTGTTAGACTGGTCCTGAGGGGGGTTGTTGCTGAACCACTTAAAGGTTTGTGTGGAGCTCTAATTCCATGATAGTAGGGGGAAAACCCTCTGTAGTCTTATTCTGAGTTCTGCTAAATTGCCTGAATATTTTAAGCTTGAACTTCTTGTACCGTTGGGAACGTTCTGCCCCTGTACGCCCTTCTTGGTGCTCACTGCTTCTAGCTCAGTTCTTACCTTAGTCTGCTGAATGCCTTGCCTACCCAGTAATTTTGGCTGGCCAGTACTAATTAAAGCGGTGGCATCTGTCATGGCTCGCGTTTTCAGTTTTAACACAAAATCAGTGGTGTGTTTTGGTGGGACTGACTGCTAAGTGTGCATGGGCCAAGAGGTCACGTTCAGAATCCATATTTTACAGAACTCTTGCTGTTGTCTAATTTTTCAGGCAGAAACAGAATTGGGGGCCTCCTGTTGTGAGCTTAGGTACTAAAGTCTTGACATAACTATTTCCTAATCATGGCAGACCTTAGCCTCCTTACCCAGTTCTTGGCTTCAGAACTCACTGCAATTAAGTATTTGGGGCAGGTTTACTAGATCAGGCTTCAATAAAAAATGAGATAACTGAGTTGCGCTCTTTCTTGGAAATTCAGGAGAATGTGGAAGAGCGATCCTGGAGTTCTAGGCAAAAAGTATAACTTGCGTTGTGGTGGGATCACTAAGCACTGGGTAAATCCTGCATTTGGCATTTTTTTATGCTAATCCAATTTATTCCACATGGGACACATAACAAATACCTTGTTATAGGACCTGAAAAACTTATTCATGTTATTAAGCTGATGTGAACTTGGGTACAGTGCATCTTAAAATGGACACAATTCCTGCGTGCTTTGCAGGTGTTGCAGAAAAGCACTGGGTTGGAAGTACTTCATTACAGTGAGGTTTGTGGCTGTGCCCTCTGTGGTGAGGGAGTTCCTATCTCAGAGTGAAAGCCAATGATTATCCAAGGGCACTTAAATCCCTGCAGAGTATTTTTCACATTAGACTTAAAATCTGAACTTACTGAGAACAAAATGAGATTAATTTTGAGCAAGAATAGGGAAAGGGGAGAGCTGACTTGGGTAGGGTAGATGATACTTTTAAGTTATGCTTGATTTCTGTCTTAGCCCTCAGAAGCAGCAAAAAACACAGCTGTGGCTAGATAAATTGGAAACTCACTAATTTGTAATATTCCTAATTCAGAAGTTTTCAATTTAATTAGGAACTCAGTAAGTTACGTCATTTGAAAACAGAGGTTAAATCTCATTCATTTCACAGAGATAGTTACCAAGCGATGGATGAACATACATTACGTAAACACGTATGTGTGAAGTGACTTTCAGTCTTCTTATATGAAGTGACAAGGTTTGTTACCTCATAATTAATTTACTTCTTGCTGTAATGTTGTTCAGATTTGGTCTTTGACCTCTTCTCACTTCATACTGTTTGAATGGGTATCTGTTTTAAAAAAAAAAAAAGTAAAGCAAAATAAAGGTCTTGCCTTTGTTTCCATAGGAAAGACTTATATTTCTGAAGGGTATGGTACTATTAAGAGAGTTGTGTTTCAATGGGGCTGCAATGTTTTAACTGTTGTTCCTATTTTTAGGTTGCAGATATCAAGAGAGTTAACAATCTTATCAACGACCAAGATTTCTTTGCCCTGAGGTCTGTCAAAATTCCAGTGAAAAAGTTTAGTGTATTGACTGAAACGCATGTCTCCCCAAAAGGAAGACAAGTCCTTCGGCCTGCTCTCTATTCCCCAGAAGTGCAGGAAACGTCACTTTCTGATAAATTCTCTGCTAATGAGACTGCTGGCAACTTCTTAAAAGAAGTGGATCGAGATATAGAAGAAATAGTGAAGTGTAATGATACAAAGAAAGAGAATCTTAATGAAGTTGTTTCTGCTTTAGCAGCCCAACAGGTTTGTTTTGAAACTGATGGTAAAACTAAAAAAAGCAAGGATCCTTACTACGGTGCAGACTGGGGTATAGGATGGTGGACAGCGGTAGTGATTATGTTGATCATTGGCATAGTAACTCCAGTTTTTTATCTCCTGTATTACGAAGTTCTGGTGAAAGCAGATGTCAGTCACCATTCTACAATGGAATCTTCCCATTTGTTTGTCACAGCAGTATCGCATCAGAAACAAATAGAAAATGGAATAAATCCAGCGAATGTTATCAATGTTGATAATCAAGGAGACTTTCAGCATTAACAACATGTAACTTATTGGTAGACACATAACATAGTGTTAGGCAAAGGGGAAACCACAGAATGCAAAATGTACGTGGAACGCAGAGGAAACGAGTACTGATGTATGACTTGCCCTCATGGGCAGTGTTCCACCACAGGGATATTTCTGGGGATCATGTAATCTCTGAATATGCCTGAGACAGGCAGTTTGCAAGATTGGGATACAAATTAAGCTATAAAATCGTCTCTGAAGCTTTGCACTTTTTTCTATTTTGATAGACATATGTTTTTTAATTAATGATGAGGTGAAAAAATGTAGTTTGAACTAACACACAAGGAGTCTCACTGTGCGTTTTACGGCCCAGAAATGGGCATATGGGGATATCTTAACTTTTAAACATGTGAAAATATTTACAGAATTCATAGTACTCTTCACTTTTTAATATCAGGTTTACAGTTGTCAATTAAAATGCTGTTCTCATATTTTTCTCTTTCTTATAGAGTAAGATTTTTTTTTTTAGAACCCAATCATTCCATAATTAATTGCCACTGTGAAGTTCCTTTTTTACAAGTGTACTTCTACAGAGGCAGTAGCAAATACTTAAGCCAGAATCTTTAATTCTTGTGCCTGTGGTCAACCCCTTCTACAGTACTTTTCAATGTAGGCAGTAGGATAATTTGTTTTCTCTGTGTGTGACACTGTGCTTCAACACAGTCCAGTTGAGAGAGTCGTCCTGAAACTTCACATTCTTCTGTGATATGCTGCTGAAAACTGACTGGACTGCATTCTCATCTGGTCAGCTGTGTGTAGGAATGAAAGAAGTGCAGAAGTGTGGCACCTTGCTGTAACATGAATTTTTTTTCCCCCCTTCAGCCAATCTCAATTCAGGACCATATGCTAATGGTCTTGTGCCCATGAACCTCAAACACTTTTTCCTGAAATCTCCTAGAAAACTTCAAATGAGATTTAATGCCTGATAGCAAATTGCAGCAAAATAGACAAGTTGCAGCTTCAGACTTTTTCTTTACATAGTAGTGTATTTTATCTGTTCTTGAATGTTTCACATGGAGTTTCATGATCAACCTTGGTTTTCCCCTCTTCTTCTCCCCCCCCCCCAACCAAACCAACAACAATCAAAACAAAACAAAAAACAACAACTCTGGACTCTTCATACAGAAAGAAGGAGTTACTTGTGTACTCAGAATACTTTTAAATAAAAACTGAGATGGTGCCTATAATTTTTTTTGTTGTGTTTACCTTGTGGAGCAAAACTCCATTGCCCTGCTCAAAATACTATTCATTACTAAAACCCAAGATTAACTAACTTGATTATAACTTATAAAGAGAGAAGTGGAAAAATAATCAGTATCCTTTAAACAACTATTGTAAGCTTTCCATTGAGTGTCTTGACTAAGTATATAGGTATATATATATATAGTATAAAAAAATCTGGTAAAGTAAATGTTTCCTTACTATTGAGTTATTTCAAAGTGCTTTATCAGGTTCTGAGAGTAAAGACTTAGGTCCCATCTATTCTTGGTGCAAGTAGTCTTTACTGGCATGCCAAGTGTATGAACATGAATTGGCTAACTTGTATTATATTGAAATTGAAGGCAGGCCAAAGCTTGAGGGAAAATGGTATACAGTTAGGTATGTGAACCTGTGGCTCATGAACCCTTTGTTCAGAGGGGCAGCTGTGGAGATAGTGAGCCTACTCATAGTCTCTGCACTAGAAAAGAGATTACAAACAGGCATGAACTTAATGGTTCACATAACCCTTGTTTTCAAAGATCTTTTACAGTAATAGTTCATTTCACAAAGACAATATGCCAATAACACAAATATAAATACTGAGGTACCAGTTCTAGGTAATGCTATATGAAAAACTGCATTGCAAAATACTTCTTGGTGGCTAAAGTGATACAGCTTCTAGGGTTAAAACTTTAAAAGGACTTACTCTAGTCCAGACAAGAGAGCTTTGGCACATGAAGACAGATGTTTACTGTAAGGTATGAAACTTGGTATATAACGTGTCAGCTTTTTTGCTGCAAGCTTATTTACTAGTTTGCTTCTTCCCCCATCATTCTGTTCCTGAAATCTCAACAGTTCTAATACTTTATCCTTCCATTTCTTACAGATTCGTCAAAGCACGTTAAGTTAGCTATTGTGATAATGCAGCATAAGCCTCTTTTACTGCACATACCTGAACTGATGGGTATTAAATTGCCATTGGTGTAGAAGTGAAATTAACTTTGGCTGTGGTCTGACTAGGTCAGGAAGGTCTCTGTCTGTTGATGTAAGGATACAGAGGTCTGTGGTTAACTGATGCTTTTTGTTATATGGTGGCACAGATGAAGAGATCTTTGTCCCAGGCTTTGGGCCTTTACAGTGTTGGAATACCTGTGGCTTACTGTCCCCTTGATTTACCTTAGGATAAGTAGTGCTTGGAAAAACATAAAGGGACAGCTCTTTAACTGGACTGTATTACATTCTAATCAAGAGCCTGGAATGTTTTTACAAATGTATAACGTAGCTTATTTCATGCAGCACTTTTTATCAGAAGATGTAGTAGGTAGTTTTCCAAGATTGTAGGACTCCTGGTCCTGGTAAACTACAAAGATCAGCTGACATGGCTTTCTCCAGGATGCAGGGATCTTTACTTTTTTTTTCCAAAGTTCAACACAACTGGAAATGCATCATCACATCAGCTCTGGATAAACAGGGTAACTGCTCTGTAAGAAACTTAAATCTGACTTAAGTTAAAATCTGTAAAGTTAGTCTTCCAGAAACTGACTTCTTAAAAATAAAAACAACAACAAAACACAAAATAACAGTTGTAAATCACCTTTTGGATCAATTGCAACATATTGATCAGGAAGCTGGTTTTAACTTAAGTGCGTATTGCACTGTTGGATCATATAAAATTGCAGTGTTTTAAATCTGCTATTCTTTGGAATATATTGTCACAAATAGTCTTTGTATAACTTTTATAAAGCCTGAAAATACAACTTTGTAAAACACTTCTGGGTGAGGATGCAAGTCTTATTTTAAATACTTCTGCTCTTCTGCTTTTAGAAGAGCATAAGTAATACATGTAAAATAAAGGTTTTATTTTAGACAGCGGTGAAAGTGGTGCATATAATATATTCTTAGCTGTACATACTGTGCATGTTTTATTACAGGAGGCCCCTACTTGTATTTGTTTTGGCCAGTTTTTATGTATGATCTAAAATAAAAATCCTTGGCTAGCAAGCATTTTGTTGGCAGTAGGTGTATATAGCATTTACATCTAGCATACCGTAACTGCAGCCTTAATGGTTTATCCTGTTCATGCCTTGTAAACTTGGAACTTTTCCGCATAAGTTTCTGAGAACTTGTAAATTCCCAGAAGTAGATATGAAAAATTAAGGTAGAGATCAGTGAAATTCTTAGATGGTGATATGACTACACACAGAAAGCAATCTTCTTCTTCTAATGCTGTAAATACAGGATTTGAATAGATGCCTGTCAAAATCTGAAGTCTGCCAACAACCAAAGAACAGTTTCATTGTCATTATGGTCTTGCAATAAATTCTAAGCGATCAGAAAATCAGCTTCTAAAAAGAGTTGCACCTCTTGAAGAGCACAATCTCACTGCTCTTTAAAAGTGCCTTAGCACAGAGCTGTGCCCTTGCAGAACTTGGCATGTACCTAAGCAATGGCCTTATTTGCCATTGTTAAACCAGTCGTAGAGGGCCCAGCCTAAGACTTTGCAGTTCCCTCTGGAGGACAGGGACTACAGTTTACCTTTCAAAGGTCTCAAAAAGACCTGATTTTCGCTAGAGTAGTATTTCTCAACAGTGCAGCAGGGAGGCAGTTGTCTCATCCACTAGCAGTATGATGGGTGGAGGAAGTCATTGGTCCTCAAGAACTACTGTCTGCTATCAGGATACAGGAAGGAGTCTCACTGTTCACCCTGCATGGGGCAAACAGCCAGCAGCAGCAGTTACAGTTATGGCAATTAGTTATGGCAATTTAGTTTTCAGCATGCTTACCTCATTCACATCTTCTATCTCTGTTTTGTATATCACACACAAGAAGCAAGCACACCTAATGCTGACATGTGTGATGTTAAAAAAAAACTGAAAGAATGTATTTCCTATGCAATGCAGTAGAATCTTTATTAAACATTTGTAGTCAATAAACACTTCAAAATAAAAGTGGTATACCTCTGAGGTGTGACCTGCATAGCATTTAAGTTTAATTTCCTTTACATATGATACGTATTTTATCAGAACATTTAAAAGCTACACCTTAAGGACTAAATTCTTACTGCATATAGAAGTGCACAGAATAATGCAGAACTGTTTCCCAGTCAAGTGAGGTGAAGTACTGCTTGACAGAATGCCAGACATGCAAGGAAAACTACTGTAGTTTCCTTTGCTGATAAAAAGAATTGGTTTTGTTTAAAACTTTTCATTAGCGCCAGTAACAGCACTAGTTAACAGGAACATGTTTTAAGAAAGTTAAAAAAAAAAAAAATCCAAAAAAAACCCCAAACCCAAAAAACTACAACAATCAATAGTAATGTAATTATACTGACCAATAATATTTTGTACCATCAAAAGATGACACAAAGAATACACTGTTACTGTATTATTCAAACTCAGTAATAAATTTTCAAAACTTCAACTTTTGTTCTTAAATAAAATTGATGTTTCCAAACATTCTGGTTTTGCTATTCTTAGCATTCTCCCCTTGCTTTTCTAATTAAAACCTCATGCATTAAAATACTGCACCACATTCTTTTCTAACATTTTTGGGTTTTATTTTCTATTGATTTGCTGTCTGTTTCTGTCTTGTTTGTTCTGTAGGAAGTAAACAAATGCATTAACAATTACATAGATACATATCATCTGCCTTCTCACTTAACAGCTCTGTGAGGTAAGAAAGACTGTAACAGGCAGAGAAACTGAGGCAAAGGACTGAAATTTTCACTAACTGGTGAAACCAGGATTTTGTAATTTCCTAACTTCTGCCATATATTCTTTTTAAATCAAATTGTCCTTAATTATGACTTAAGGTGATTCATAAAGGTAATGTAATACATTTTACCAAAATACTAAAAGCAATGTATTCTTCTAACTACAGTAATGGCTTTTCAAATTACTGTCATATTGTTTGTCTATATTTCTAAGGTTTTTTCAAGTCAGTTTATATTAAAGTGCTTAGTCATCAATTATTTCCAGTCACCTGAACTCAGAAGTTACATAAGCTTCTTTCAGAGAAGTCAGCTGCCAAATGCAAGCAGTTTATGTCCATAAAGGCCATATCTCTTTTGCTGCAGTCATCAAGAATTTCATGACTGGTTTCAAGATTTCACTGCTGAGGCACAGAACTGACTAGTGCAAATGCTTAGGCACAATTTCAAGTAAAATGCATACATTCTTTTTCTGTGCAGAGGTGACACAATGGCATATAGCTTACTCCATCAGGAGGCATTCCAGAAGACCTTAAAAAGGCGCATATCTGCAAAACACTTGGCAAAAGAACAAACCAAAGGATCTCATATCCTCTTTTACAGCATAATACAATTAAACTCCAATGTGGTTTTGGAGAGTCTGCTTAAAACCAATGGAGCTAAAGCATTAGGTCTGTTGATATTCAGCCTACCTCCAGAATTCTACTTCAGGTAGTGTAAGGCTTGAGCAGTGTAGCACGTAGCAACCACAGTTAGTATGTTGCTTCATCCATATTGTCATCACTGTCAGCACCAAAGTCATCTCCATCGTCAAAATAGGAGGAAATGTAGTCATTTTCCTAAACCAATTGAAGAAAAAAATCTATCATTTTATCTGTGGAGAAGACAATTTATAAAAGAAACATCCTTTAAACTGCACTTGAGTGCCCACCTTTTAAAACAGTAGTAGATTTTATTTTCTTGGCAAAGAAAAAGGAAAATACTGCAATGAAGTTCTGATACCTATGAAAGAAAAGGCATCACTGTTTTAGTGATGAAAAAGAGTAATTGTATGTATTGATTGTGGCAGGACACATTCCTGTGTGCAAGATCTTTTCTCGGAGCTCTTTGTGAATAATAAGTCTAAAACACCCATTTAAATGAACTACAACAAAATACAGTGCAACAAAGATCATTAATGTAATAATGCTTCCCACAACAACTCTCCCTTGGCATCTGAGAAGCTAGGGACATTTCTTTGGCTTCCAGCCAACACAGTACTCAATGTATAAAGAGGAAAACTAACATTATACCTCTTCATGTTCCTCTTCATCATATTCATCTGGTTCTTCTGCTTCTTCATCATCTTCACCTTCTTTGTCTTTTGTTTTGTCTTTCTCATCTTCAGATTTTTCTTCTTCATCATCCTTCTTTTCCAACTCCTGTCACAAGGCAATCTGCTTTACAAGGTAATCCCATATTACAGCGACAGCAATTCATAATACCAAAATATTAAGCTGCAGTTAACAGCAAGATAGCATAACAATGCTGTGAAAATGCTGACATTTAAACCAATATGATGTGAAGCACAGGAACTTCATACAGACTTGGTCAAGCATCAGCCATCGCACTTAAAGGCTAAAAAAGCATGGCTTGTGTTACAGACTGAGATGATGATTTCCCTTTACCATCCACTGAGAGCACAGTTGACAGGAGAAGGCCATGTCATTAATTGATAAAGCAATACCATATACTCTATGTAATAATATAACTGCACCAAACAACTGATGGATCACTACAAGAAAAAATACAAAGGTGTTCGACCTTTAAGCTTCCCATTCCCACATGGCGAGTAATTGCCTGCAAAACAGAGGTCACTTCCTAAGTTTCTCTTTCTGTATTTCTTCCCTCTCAACTTACTAAATTGTTTAAGTTCTCACATCAGTAGAATGGTGAAACAGCAATAGATTTAAAAGCTCTGGCACCAGTTTCTCCTTCAGTAAGCTCCAACAGTAGCTCTGCTGTTCACATTAGTCTGTATTGCTACCCAGTGAAGAGCAACTGGTTGTTGTGTTCAGGTACAAACAGGAGCTATCCAGGCTCTATCCTTACTCTTACTCTTGTGCCACCACAGTGCAGAATAGCTGTCTGCCAGAGTAACATGACAAGGCCAGAATAAAGGCTGTTCTGGTTATTTCGTTTGTACCAAAAAACATACGAGGTTTCATTTTCCTTCAGCAATCTCTAGTGTACAATTTAGAAAGAGTATGCACATCTTACCTCAATTTTTTTTATCACATCCAGATTACTTTTAGGCTCAAAGTTTTTTGCCTTTTTTGGTTTTGCACCTGGTGAAATAAAATACATCACTATTATTTTTTTAATATGGAAAACACAAATTCTTTTGTTTTACTTGGTTTTACGTGCTTACATCTTGAGTATGCCAGGGAAATCCTATACTGGCTGTATTAAAATTACTTTAGACTTTGAGCTACATCATTCATAGAAGTGTAAGTGCCTGGTTTATGTAAGACATGCCTAGAAGGCCAATCTGAAATTCAGTTTGAACAAGTAGTTGACCAAAGGTTTCGCTAAAGTATGATGTCCAGCTTCACAAAAGACTTGTCAACTACCTGCTCACAATATGTTATGAAACTAGAACAAAATCTCACTTGTTATTTTTCATCATCTTGAAAAGATAGAAATTCATTGTTACTAATTTATACAACACAGTAATGACAGCTGGGTGCTTCAGATAAGTAGGTATAAGAAAAGGAACACAACAGATCATTAGCTGTAACACAGAAGGCATGGTTACTGTAGCTACATGGCTCTTGGGCCATAGCTGGCTCTCATCTAATGAGTCCATGGAATGTATTTGCACCTAGCCCCCTGATTCATGAACATAATCTTTACCAGGTTACTCCCCGATTAATTATATGGTGGAGCAAAGGTCAAAAATAGCATTCCATACACCCAGATAAGAGCCACCTGAATTGCAGCACCCTGTATCAACGTTGCCCAAATACCAGCCTAATACTCAAGGAAGTAGAACCCTGAGAACTGCTGAGCAAACAACTGTATTTTGTCAAAAGCATTTGCCGTATGTAACACTGAGTTTATTTCAGTGTTTTGCCTAGGAAACAATTATGTGACTAAAGCACTGCAAAGAGCTGAGGGGAGTCAATCTGCTCTGTAAAATATGAACAACACCAAAGCAAACACATCCAGAACGAAGTAGGCTTTTAAGGAAAACAAGTGTAAAGTGCAATTCAGAATTATCATCTCTGCACAAACTCCTGCGGGCTTTTAGATTAAATGCAGATAGAACAGACATGTAAGATTTGTCTTTAAATGCCAAGCATCTTTAGCCCTTATAATGAAATTAGAGATACTGACCAATCTTTAGTAGAACTTCAAGTGAAATAGTTCTCTACATCATATACCTTAGAGAGGCAAGGGAATACAATCTAATCTGATTTCCAAATACCCACTCTTGAAGTACTTGGGCTAAAATGCATGTACCTGATTGCTATATACATATGCATATGGCTGGCCTACAACGTCAGCTGAACCCAGTCAGCACCTTTTTTTTTCCTTTTTTTTCTTTTTCCTTTTGTTTATTTTTTTGTTTTGTTTTTGGCAGGCAGTGCTGGTATCTAGAATACTGTGTTCCATAGCCCAGGGTCAGTGTGGGAGAGATATGGAATTCTATCCAAAGTTTTGTCCCTAAGAAGGCAGGTGGTCAGATCTTTGGTTAAAACATTCAGGGAAACTAGAAAGAGGAAGGGAGAGATGTGTAAAAATAAAGCTGTCCCTGTACATGCAACTGTGTAGGGATCCCCAGACCACTCCTGCATGCTACAATGGGGAATGGTAGGAAGCCTGGCTGAATTTCTGTGCAAATTCTCTTGACTCACTCACCTTTGTTCCACAAGGGTTAAAGTGTCACCTAAGTCAGCTGTCCTCAAAATACAAGCAAGATATGTACCAGGAGGGCTGATGTGTCACTGACCAGCTACATACAAATGTCCTGAGTCATATGACTTTTGTATGCCCTCTGTATCATCAGAATTCCCCCAAAAAACTAAACCACATAGTTTTTGCTTTCGAGGGAAGCTGGTTTTTAATCCAATCAAATTCTGATGACCTTGATCTCTTCGCCATTATAGCCATGTAGGAAAATGTACTTTTAAGAGCCAATAGAGAAACTGGCACTAAAGAAAGAGGAAAGATCCCACAGTGAGCAGTGATTTTCTCTTAATCATAATATTTTTTAAACAAGGATTAATAGTTATTTATTATTTCATTGATCTTGGGGAGCTACCTATTGTGCATGGGCTTACAAAAGCCAGTGGTTTCCTCCTGTCGGGGGGAAAAAAAGTAGGTATATTCTGGTCCCACCTTTAGAGATTTTGCAAATAAGTATTTGATTTTCAGTTGAATCTTACAGTTTACCTTTAGTACCATGCTTCTCAATGACATTATTAAAAGGAACAAAGCTTCCAGCTGAGTCAGTCTTTGTCACTACTGCACATTTCCACTTCTTTTTCTATTTTACCCTTGAACTGAAAAATGCCACATGAGGGACTTGGACAAAAAGAATATAAAAATATACAATTATATATAAATAGACGGCTAGATACAGGAGGCCAAGTGTTATTTCACATCATCAGAACAACAGCTTTCTATAGGGAACTTAAAAAAAATCATGCACACTAGAAAATACTTTGAAACAAATGATGCTGTGTAACAAAATCTTTTTTCCTAAAAGAACAGCCAATACCAGCTCCAACTGCTGTTGAAGGATCTGGTTCACAGAAGAAAGCTGAAAACAGACAAAAAAAGTAAAACCAGAGAAAACAGAAAACAACCGGCATGAAACCACATATAAAAGGCTTAAAGAAATGCAAAACTCAACCAAATAATAAATAATTGAGAAACCCAAAATATAAAGGAAATCTGAACAGCCAGTTACTTATTGAATAGAAGGGTGAGTGTTGATTAAGATACGAGCTTTCAAAATAAAAAGGCTTGTGGTTTGTTTTTTTTTTTAATTTTTCACTGTTACATGTATAGTGAAATACATTCATACAGGAGTCAGGAAAGGAAGATAAATCTGTACAAATAAGTTAAAACATCCTATAAAAACAAAGCAAAACCCACAAAAGGCAGGCAGACTAGTAAATTATTTAGAAAAAAATCTGCCAAAAGACCTGATTATTTGGACTAATTAACATTTCTACAATATTTTTTCCTCTAACCAGCTCCAGTATGTCTTCTGTCTCTCAAGTAGTGAGTATTATTTGCTTCTTAAAAATATATAATGTACCTTTTTTGGTTGTCTTCTTTGGTTTCATCTCTCTTGGGAGTCTTCTCCAATCTGTACAGAAAATAGTTCTAATATAGAAAAATGATGATTTACTGCAGTAATCCTCTCCCTGTAACTCACCAAGGAAAGGACCAGGCCCCTGTTGTTCTTGATCCTATTTACATGGATGCCGAAATGTCTTAGCATACAACAGTTTTAGGGAATTCTAGCTGTAATTTAAATCGAGGAACTGGACTCAGGACTCCCCCACATAATGACAACTGGCCTCTATCCCAAAGAGACAAGTTCAGCCATTCCAGTGGCCCATGGGCCCTTCAATTTAAATTATGTAATTAAGTTTGCAGTAGTGAGCTATACAGGTATGACTACCCATGACAGACATCAGGTTGGGTTACTTTTAGTAACATCAGTGTTTGCTCCCAGTTCAAAACTGGTATCTGTGTGGTGAGTCAGGAAAAAGAAAAGCTGAAGTCAGAGCTGAAGCTTGCATTTTTGCTGCAAATCAGTTGTTACAACTCAGTAAATAAATAAGATCAGATTTTTCCCCCTTTTTTTTTCTGACAAAACAATACTTGCCTTGATCTGAAAACATGCAAAGGACAATAACTCTCAACAAGAAACGCATGACTTGGTAAGGATTTTCATACTTTTTTATTGCTTGAAAAATCATGAATCAAACACTTAAAAGAGCAGAACATTTCACAGGTCAACAGAAAATTAGCCTCAGATGCTACCTGGAATCCATGTTTTCTGCTCCTTTTCACTGTCCTGGTACTTTTGACTGTACCTCTCAATTGCTATAGAGAAGGATACAAAGAGTTATTGACTTCAACTGATTTAACAGGCAATCCAGACATAGTCCTTGATATTTTCTTGTAACTAAACATACAGTGTATTTTTTTATTCCCACATTGAACACTTTCTTGTTGTGAAGAACGTAAAAAAAATAGAAAAAAAACAAAAAAAGCACTCCAAAATTATTATAATTTATGCTTTTATCCTTGAAAAGCATGAAATTATAAAATGCAGATTTAATAAGGGAAACTAGGTTGAAACATCAAATGTAACACTAACTGTTATACTCCTCAAGATTTTCACAATCAAACCTTTGCTACAAAACCAATCAGTGACATTTAACACCCCTATGTTAACCATCCAGAATTCCCAGTTCTCAAAAGGCTGTGTCTCAGTCTGATCATCACCTTTCAAGACTTTCAGTACTTCTGCAATGGAAAAGCTTTGCATTCCATCCTAAATAGCAGCAACACACTTTAATCCATTACAGTACAATACAGTACAATCCAGTACAAGAACTAAACCGAGAAATGCATCATAAGTGGTCGTACAACGTAAGCACATCTACTTATATTCAAAAAACCGCTTACTTAAAATCTGTAATGACAAAAGCAATATCAAAACTTTAGTATTTTTAAATCAGTCCCCTTTTTACTTACCGAATTACCATGCACAACTGCAAAATCCACTTCATGCAAAATTAGTGAGTCTGATTGCACTAACCCGTTATTCAAACAGGGATAATTTCTGTGAGTATTGTACAAAAAATAGTAACTGAGACAGCCTTTGACCTTTAGAGTTAAACACTTCTAACACAGAATCACAGAATGGTTTGGGTTGGAAGAGGATCTCGAAGATCACCTAGTGCCATGGGCAGGGGCACCTTCAACTATACCAGAGCCCTATCCAACCTGGCCTTGAACACTTCCAGGGATGGGGCATCCACCAACTTCCCTGGGCAACCTCTTTCAGTGCCTCACCATCCTCACAGTAAAAAATCTTTTCCTTATATCTATGAAACCTGCTCTGCTTCAATTGGAACCCATTTCCCCTTGTCCTGTCACTACATGCTCTCATGAATAGTCTTGCCCCATCTTTACTGTAAGTTCCTTCAGGTAGTGGAAGGCTATAGTAAGGTCACCCTGAAGCCTTCTCTTTTCCAGGCCGAACTATCTCAATTCTCTCAGCCTTTCCTCATAGGAGAACTGCTCCATCCCTCTGATCATCTTGGTGTTCTCCCCTAGACTTGCTCCAACGGGTCCATATCCTTCCTGTGCTGGGACCCCAGAGCTGGATGCAGCACTGCAGGTGGGGTTTCACCAGAGCAGAGCAGAGGGACAGAATCACCTCCCTTGACCTGCTGCCCACACGGCTTTGGATGCAGCCCAGGACATGTTTGGCTTTCTGGGTTGTGAGTGCACACTGATGGCTCATTTCCAGCCTCTCACCCACCAGCACCCCCAAATCCTTCCTGGCAGGGCTGCTCTTGATCCATTCATCCCCCAGCCTGTGTTAATACTGGGGGTTGCCCCAACCCAGGTGCAGCACCTTGCACTTTGTCTATTAAACCTCACGAGACTCCCATGGGCCCACTTCTTGAGCCTGTCTAGGTTCCTCAGGATGGCATCCTGTTCTTCAGATGTGTGCTCAACAGGGAGAAAGAAAATATCATAAATGAAGCTCAATTTTAGTTATGATGAGGGCAAGCAGAAAATCTTCTTATAACTGTTCAAGAAAGAGCCTGCATTTAAAATAACAGGGGCATTCACAGATGCTGTAGGAAACTGTCAGCAAAGAGAGGAAAAGAAGCCAGTAGTTTCGATTTCAGCTCAAGGCTCTTTAGTGAATACTGCCATCAGTACAAAAAATCATTGACTGACTCACACCTCTCACAACTAATGAATTCATTCAAAGCCACTGCCAAGGTGGCAGTCACCCAGTCACAGCAGATATACCTAAAGGAAAAATATGAATGATTAATAGCTAATTTAATGAAGAAAATAAAGAACTTTCTATAGAATATGCCTACTATTCACTCAACATGAGCAGTGAAATGAATGATGAAAATCTATTCTATATGGCACACTAACACATCAAATTTGACAGGTAGCATTATATGGAGCTTTTGTTTATTACCTGAATAATGAGACAGATAGCTACATCCCAACTAATCAAAATGTTTCCCTTCTTGCACTTTCAAGGACCATTTGGCTCGGAGATGTTGTGCTGAGGGTTTAAAACAATCCAGTCACTCTTGTAGCAAAGCCAATTTATGAAGTTCTTGCCTACAGTCCAGATGTTCTAATGAAATAAAGTGGAGCAAACAGCTGTAAACCAGGTAACAGAAAAGATCAGTTAAAAACAGTCTATTCTGGGGGACAAATGCAATTTTCTTAAAACTAGGCCACTTCTGCCAGAGTGCAGTCCCAGAAACAACTGCACACTATGACTGATATGAAAACAAGCTTTTTAAACTGCAGACCACTCCTGATGTAATTATACCGCATCCCTCAGATGCAGCATTTTTGTATGACTTACGATTTAATAAAAAGTTACCTCAACTTACCAACTTACCCTTGGTAAGGGTAAGATGATGAGATGATGAGAACATTCAGAGCATTATTTCAGTCTATCACGTGGTCTACCCGCTTTCTCTGTAATTTCCAATTTTGATATTAAAAACCAGTATTCCAAGCTGGTAGTTCTACTAAGTTCTACTAAGCAAGAGAGAGAGATCTCTCCATTCTGAAAGAAGGTTGCAGAAGCAAAGATGATTTTGAGGTGATCAGTAAGAACAATCACATAAGGTAAAGTCGGAAAAGAGAGATAACATTTTCTCATAAAGCAGCAGGCTCCTTGGAAATAACCCTGACTGGCTCTCAGGCATGGCAGTTTCCTGTTTTGTGCCTCTAATGGAAATAGCAAACTTCAAGCCTGAAGAAGATCAAAAGCACAGCAAGCCTCTAGTGAAATGAGAATCCAAACTGACTGAAATTTGTTTACTCAGAAGATGAAAGAGAAGATGTGTGTTATAGGTTAGAAATCCAGGAGGGGGGAATTTTTCTTCCCCCTGCCCCCACTGTAAGAAAGACGGAGTTTGAATGGAAAGGGAGGCAATTAGCGTTACAAAGGGTCTAGCCAGCTGAGCTGCATTCCTAACGAATGGCCCATCGGAGGCTGGGGGAAGGTAGGGAAGAGTTTTGGGGAGTTGCTTGGACTCCTTAGAAGGGAGAAGGCAGTTTTTGGCTGAGCTCTTGCTCTGGGATGGAGACGGGGGTCTTGCGTGCGTGCTTGTGGAGAGAAGGCCTGGAAGCCGGGCTTTCTGGCTTCCTGCCCTGGTCAGCTCTGACTGCTGGCCTCGACTTGCGGGCAGGCTGTCTTTGTCTCCAGCCCGGACCTGCTGCGTTCTCATCGGAGAGTTTTATGCTCACTGGGAGAAGAAAGGAGTCTTGGGACACCGTCATCTGAGGATAACAATGAGTTTTGTGGGGGTGGACTGTTTTCCTTTCCCCTTTCTCCCACTGGGGGAAGGGTCCCCATTCTCTTTTCGGCTCCTCCCGCGACCCGAGACACCCCCCAGACCCCCCTCCCGCGCGGTGACCTCCAGAGCCCGACAGCGCCCCCTGCAGGGCAACACCGAGCACTGCAGGCTCTGCACCTCCAGCGATCCAACAGCGCCCCCTGCCGGTCGGGATTGGAACTGCGCTGAAGGACAGAGAAGTGTTCAGACTTTTTTGTTGGTTTGAAGGAGACTTTTGGGTACAGGACTATTGTCTAGGGGTTTTTTTGTGTTCTATTACTGTTCTTGCCAACATACATCTTTTAATAAAGGGTTGTTGTTTCTTCTGTTTTTTCCACACTTCCTCAATTAAAGCCCCTTAATTTTGAATTTACAATTGCTGAGAGAGAGGAGTTTGGTTTGTCTCATAACTCTTTAGCACACATTCCAGTCTCTTCAAACTGAGACAATGTGATAATAGAGTCATTTAGAGTTCTTATCTCATCACAAAGGGATCTAGAAATAAGGATCAGATCTGTTCTTGCCTCATAACCAGTTTTATCTGGCTGCACTGTCAGGGTCCACCCTGGTCCGTGCTTGTGCTGCATTAGAGCTGCGTCCCAGTGGTTGCTGGCCTCCAGCTGCATGTCAGAGGAAATACTCTGCCTTTTGTGAACCACAACGTCAGTCTGGCAGTGTATTCACTCCTCACACTGTAGGGCACTGCTCCATTTTATACTGGGCTTTAGTACCAGAACAGGTGGACAATGAATAAGGTGTGTTATTCAGTGTAACAGTCAAGGCCTAATAAAAAAACTTGCACAGTCTCAAAACCATCTAGAATTCACCACTACACCATGAACAGAAATTAACAAAATTCAGAGGGGATTACACTAGGCACCTCTATGTTAATATTTAATTACATGCAAGCAAAAGAAATTCTGAGATCAAGCAGAATAAGATCAAGATCTGGCTTCTAATCCAGCTCTGCTTCTGGTGCAAACCTCAGTAAATCACTTATCTTCACCTCAGACTTCACATTTCCAGTGACTTGTCAGTAACACTTACTAATATTTCCTGAATGGACTTAGGGGGGAAAAAAAGCTGAGTACCTTTTAGAATGTTCATCCATTAAATATAACATTATTTTGGGTATATCTTTACACAATGAAAGCTGAATTTCAAGACTAGTATTTACTATGGATTTCTTTGCTCTAATGCAAAATTTTATGGCATTTTAACAGGTAGAAATGCCTATTGCACTTGTATAGGCTAGCATATAATTGAAAAGACTGCATGTAGTTGGTCTAAATGTTTCTTACTGTATAACAAATGGAGTAGATGTTTCATACCTTTCTTTTTCAACAGTAGTTGCTTTCCAGTTATAGCACTTGTAGATGTCACCCATGATTTCAGTAAGTGTAAAAGCAGAAAAATTCCCTATTATCTTAAGTTGCTATTTTTTCTTCCTCATTATTAGTATGAAACTCATCTTCAACACATGCATTTCCCTATATCGGCCTTCCCAGAATAGTAACTAAAGATACAATAAAAAGCTCACAAACCTTGATGTTCTTCTTCTACTGTCAAAAAGTAAGGCATTCTTTTCATAGTTCCTCTAAGATCTTGTTTTAAGGCCAACATGTAGTCTTCATCTTCTCCTGTTTTCAGAGGCACTGGCTTATCGTCTGTACTCTGTACAAATCATGTGTATTATATATAAGGTCTTGATATCCACCAAATACACAGGTACACTAATAAAAGCTACAATAAACACAGCTAATAAAAGAAGAATGCAACTATGTATTACACTACTTCACAAGTATACTATATTGCATTCTGACATGCATAGTAACTATGTTTACATCTAAATTTATACCTTATATAACTTGACTGTATCTTTCTGCAAAAATGTATCAAGAAATCAGTGAAATAGTGAAACAGTCATTCATAGTCATCCTGACTAGCCAAAAGCAGTTTTTCTCACTAACCTTAGTCAGAAACCATTTCTTCTCTCTTCATTCATAGTGCTGGCCTTAACCACTTCTAAACCAGTGTTTTAACTACATTAAGTATGATTTCTGAATACCATCCCGACAACGACAGGAAGAAAGCATTTTTAACTTATCCATGGTATACATTACATATACTGGGGCTAATAATTCTCCTACAAGGCTAACTGTAACTCAGAACCTGCAGATTATACAGAATTCAGATGGCACAGAACTGCGCTATCAAGCAGACTTCAACATTCACATTAGAAACAGTTACAGATGATTTAGTAATATGAAATCACAGCTTAATTGTAATGCTGGACTAAGAGGATAAACAGCATCTGGCTCCGTAAGTCAAAGCCTTGGGTGAGAAAACTATTCAGAGAAATCTCAGCGTAGCACCAACTGTATGTAAAACTTGCAAGTTCTGTATCATAGCACATGAGATTGCAAAAAATTTCATGCACTTCGATCAAATCCTGACATAAATGATAAATTCTCTTATATAAAACTGCAACATTGTAAGACTACTTTTCTGCCTCAAAATAGTCCAAGCTTCCCCGCACAGCAAAACACAGTCAGAAAATGCTCTTTCTTCCCCTTTAATTTTCAAATACATCCCAAATGCTAAGACTCAATTAAGCTTCCTTAATCATACAATTAAATGAAATTAATTTCAGATGAATTTAGGTATCCAGTGTTACCACTACTGTAATGTCCAGAAAACCAAATAATGATGAGGACTTCAACACGCTAACAGCTTGCAAGCAATCTAGTTAAATATATAACGTAATAACATAAATAAATAATAACAACAGTTAGCAAAGGCACAGGAATTAGCCATAAGAAAAATAGTGACTTCTATTAAATACTTCAAAACTGCTTGGGGTTGTTCATATATTTCATTATGTTACTTAAACACAAATGTGAACACACTTTACCTGAACACAGAATGTGCTCCACAGTACTGGCTGTACTTACTGGAAATGGTAGTGGAGGCTTACAGATGACATCAGGTAGAGCTGCATCGTTACCAAATCCAATAGCCTCAATGTTGAAGGTAAACGAAGCACGTCCTCTTCCTCTACCTGACCCAGCCATTTGGAGGTACTGAAAATATTACAGATTTTTAAACATACATATTTTCATTATGTGTTTCAAATTCATGTATATATTACCTAGAAAATTAATGTCTAACAAAGATCACAATCATTTTAAGACAAAAGATCATTTTTAAACAGGAAGCCATTTTCGCAGGTTCTTCAACAGACCATAAATTTGGTACATGCCTAAAATCAGCTCCATTCCCTTATTTCTGCCAGCCACCTCTGCATGCCTGAAATTACCTCCCAGCCTAAGAGTTTTAAACTTTCTTCTTCTAAATCTTAGTTTCACTGTATTGAGTTTAATTAGAATCAGAAACAAAAGGGGGAATAAAGGTTTAACAACCCTGAACTTTATGTTAATACATTCTTTAATTTCTGATCTTTTTTCCAAAAACTAGTTTGTGTTTATCATTCATGATTTCTTCATCCTTAGATTGTTTTTTGTCCTTTATCTTAGTAACTAGTTTTGGGTCCTGATGAAGTGACACAGGCAAAGAGGCTTAAGGCAATCAAAAGGTATCAAAAGACTGCAGCACGACTGCAAGCTGATAAAAGGAGCTTGTTTCTAACTAAAATATTTAACAAAGAGTATAAAAGAAAAAGAGCCTGCAAAACATTTACAGTCATATCTCTCCACCTTCACTGGTTACACTGGTTACACCAACCTTCATCTCATGAATTGCATGACCCATGGGTTGGCAAGTAAAGCAATATATGAGACTGGGGTAAGATGTCAAGAAGTGTGATCCAAGAGAAGCTTGGATGGAGCAGTGTGCTACTGCTCACAGCCCAAGGCCACACAGAGATTAGTTCAAGGCCCCAACCCAGAAATACCATAAGCTATTTATCATTGACTGCAAGGTCACTGTACTGCACCTTGCTTAGTATGAACAGGTCTGTTTCATACCTACTGCTGTACCTGCATCATCACAACTAGTTCTCCTTAAACAAAAGCAATGGCCTTTCTATTACATGCCAGTGAGAAACAGGTTGACGCCAGTTTTTTCCTACTTGTGATTTTCAATAGAAATAAGCTCTGTTTGGATGAAACAAAATCACATTATGTACTTCCATGGCACTCTGCAGCACAGAATACTGTCTACAACTAAGCAGAGAGCCCTAAAGAAACCATTTTTAGGAAAGAAAACAAAGCAAAAGCTAGGACTAAGCATGTAATTAACTGGAATGTAAAAAAAAAAAAAAGGAAATAAAAAAGAAGCAAACTCCTTTGAAAATAGGATGAAAAGCAAGATGTGAGCCTAGCAGAATGGAGAAAGATAAAAGATACAGTCAAGCCCCAAATGTGAGCAATTATATTATCTAAGTGTGTGTAGTGGGTTTCTGTGGCTGGGTTTTAGTAGCGGGGGGGGCCTACAGGGGTGGCTTCTGTTAGAAGCTGCTAGAAGCTTCCCCTGACTTGTGGAGCCAATGCCAGCCAGTTCCAGGACGAACTTGCTGCCACTGGCCAAGGCCAAAACAATTAGGAGTAATAGTAACACCTCTGATAACATATTTAAGAACAGAAGGTATTGTGCATAAAGAATTCCAGCCAGGGAAGAGCAGAGAGAACATGGGAACAACCAAGTAGACACCAAGGTCAGTGCAGAAGGAGAGGCAGGAGGTGCTCCAGGTGCCAGAGCTGAGGCCCCTGCAGCCCGTGGTGCAGACCATGGTGGAGCAGCTGTGCCTCTGCAGCTCATGGAGGAGCCCATGCTGGATCAGGGGGATGCATGAAGGAGGCTGTGACTCTGTGGGAGGCCCAAAATGGAGCAGGGTCCTGCCCGATACCTGCAGCCTGTGGAGAGGGAAGCCCACGCTGGAGCAGGTTTTTCCTGGGTAGGACTTTTGGCCCCTGTGGGGGACCCACATCAGTGCAGCTCATTTGTGAAGGACTGCACGCCATGGAGGAGTGACCCACAGGACAGCAGTTTGGGAAGAACTGCTGCCCGACGGATGGACTCACGCTGGAGAGATCCATCAAGGATTGCCTCCCATGGGAGGGAGCCCACAGAAGCAAGGGAAGGACTCCTCTCTCTGAGCGGTGTCAGAAACAACAGCTGACTGCAGCCCCCATTCCCCATCCCCCTGCACCGCTGGGGGGGAGGAGGGAGAACATGGAAGGAGGGGTGGGGGGAAGATGTTTTTAAGACTGTTTTATTTCTCCCTCTTTGGCTCTTATCCTGTTAGTAATAAATTTAAGTACTATCCCCACTTTGAGTCCAACAACATAACAAGACAACAAAATAAAAGTTGAGCTACCACAGAGAGAGGTGCTTTACATTAAATGTAATGAATACAAAGGTTCATTTTTAAAATGCTGCTTTAAAATTAATTCTCAGTAAATTCCCTTGAAAAAGAGCATTAGTCTGATGAGAAGTAACAAGGTTTAAAACTAGCAGTATTTCAACTCCAAATTTTTACCCAAACTTGTGTTTTTTTCAAGCATACTGGCTTAGAAGGTTTATGTCTACTGATGGTATAAATTGACAGTGACAGATGACCGGACAAATCGTGAAGGGAAAGTAAAGTTGAACAACTGAGCCACCAAGTATGACAAAGTTACAACTAGCGCTCTGGCTGCCACGAGGGATGTCTAATGGAGCACCTGGGGGCATTTTCATATTTATAGGTAGTTTGTGTGTCATTTACTCTATAAATGAGAAGATTTTCAGATTTAAGCTTTTAAAACCTCTTCAAACTTACGTATTCAGTTTCTCGGGCACTCACTCAGGGGAAGGCAGCCGATGCCTTGGGGAGGGAAAGTCCTCTGGAATCGGGATCCCTGGCAGCTGCGAGGCGGCTGGACGGACGGCAGCGGACGGGAGGAGGCTGAGCACTCCCACGGGTTCCCGGTATCCTCAGAACGAATCACCCGATTGTGTTTTGTGGATCGTAGACCCTTGCATTTCACAAGCAGATGCAATCAGTTGAAGGGAAGAGCACATACAGAAGAAAGGACCGAACTTTAGATACTAAGTTTTTGTGGGTGTTTATTTTTTTTTAATCTGACGTCCCTGAAGGTAAACGGGTTTGTCACGACGGTCACTAATCCCTGCCGTGTGAGGATACGCCTCTCGGCTCCTCTCCGTCCCTTTCCCGCTCCCTCTCCCCTCGCTGACCGCCCGCCACCCTTCGCCTCAACCCGTCAGGAGTCCCTGAAGGGCCCAGGGCGTTTTGGCTTTATCCCCCCACCCGAGGGCGAGTCTCAGCCGCCTCCCCCGGGTACTGCCCCGGCAGGGAAGGGGATTCAACCCGCTCACTCCCTCAAGCCGCAGCCAAGCCCACCGACCCTTCGAGGCTCCCCCGCTTCTCAACCTTCGCGCTCCGCCCGCCGCTGCCGCAGTGGGCCGGGCCGGGCCAGCCCCGCCCGCGGAACGTTGAGGGTGCTCCGCCGCCGATCAGCGGCGGCTGGGCCATGTCGGCGCTGGAGTGGTTCGCGCACAAGCCCCTGGGCGGCGGCATCTTCTGGATCCAGGAGCGCTTCTACGAGTCCGGCAACCGGGCCAACATCTGGCTGGTGCGGGGCTCGCAGCGGGACGTGGTGATCGACGCCGGGCTGGGGCTGCGCAGCCTGCCCGACTACCTGCGCGACTCCGGGCTGCTGGCGCCGGCCGAGGGCGCTGGGCCGCGGCCGCTGCTGGCCGTGGCCACGCACGTCCACTTCGACCACTCGGGTGGGCTGCAGCACTTCGAGGAGGTGGCGGTGCACAGCGCCGAGGCGGCCGCGCTGCTGCGCGGGGACAACTATGAGGCCGTGACGTGGCTGTCGGACCGGGAGGTGGCGCGGCCGCCGCAGCCCGGCTGGAGCGCGCGGCAGTTCCGCGTCCCGCCCGTGCGGCCCAGCCGCCTCCTGCAGGAAGGTGAGGAACCGGGAGCTCTGGTTATCCACCCTGGAGCTGCGCCTCTGCCGCCCTGCGCGTCCTGCTTTACTCGGCTCCTCGTATAAAATAGTTAAACCGGTGTGTTTTTTCACTCCCATCAACCGACGAGCCGCGGTCAGCAGGGACGAAGGAGACGCGTAGTGGGTTAAACCTCGTTTCCAGCAGTTCTGAAAGTATTTGGCATCAGGGTGTTTTTGGTTGGTTGGTTTGGGGTTTTTTTTCCCCTTTTTTCTTGTTTGTTTGTTTTTTGGAGGGTGCTGGGTTGTTTGTTTTGGGGGACTTTTTAGTTGTTTCTTTTTATTTGTTTGGGTGTTTTTTGTGGGTTTTGGTTTGGTTTTTTCTCCATTAGAATAAGAATCGCTCAACAGTGATTTAAGTGACTTAATTGAGTACCACAGGTTTATCCTCACAGTGTGTCACCGAGTCAATCGGATCTGCCGTCTGGCGACCCTTATTTATAAGCTGCCAAGACACAGCAATGCAGTTAACAGTTTCTTGAAATATGTACTGTGGATACAGTTTTTGTTCTGCAGAATTTACAGGCATTTACGGAATTTTACGTGAATTATGTTAAACGTCTGTAAAAAGTGGCTTGTTACTGATGTAACATTTACAGAAGTGGCTTGTTGCAGATCAAAGAAGCCATTTAGTCTTTCACAGGTGACAGGACTAGTTTTTTTCGCAACAAACCACCTAAACTGTACAATACAGTGCAGCAGAATTTAAAGGATAGGTGTCTGACAGACAAGTGACACCTTTGGCTGGGAACTTACTCTCTTGGCTTTATTAGACCATCCCACATGGGTGCTTGGAAAAGCAGAACTGAACTTACTGAAGGATTCAGTGAAGAGCTGATGTGACACTTAGCTGTAGTAAATCAACAGAAATTTAAGGCTTTTTTTTCTTTGAAAGGAAAGGATTATTAAAATAATCTTGTGAAAGAGCAAGCATGTAAGTATCAAGATAATATCAAAGTTTCTAAAATAATGTTCACTGAGACATGAGACTGACTTTCTGCTGAAAGTATCAGTTCAGTGGTTGGTTTAATGAAAGTGAATTCACATTTAAACTGGCAAAAAATTACCTAATGTTAAGAAATGTCTATTTTTATATCTTATTGAATGAGATGAAGAAAGTGTGTGGAGGCCAGTCTTGGTTCTCCTCCAGCAGTTTATGTTCTTTCCTTTTGCCTTTCCTTTTGCCTAGAATGCAATTCTAGGTGATTTAAGTGAGGATAAAATGATAATAAATTGTAAAATACTTACTTTTTAAACTTTTCAAAGGAAACTCAGATGTGTTCTGTTTGTTTCCTGTTTTATTTTCTCTATTCCATTGCTTTTCACATTATTTAATTTATTAGAGTGGGAATAGATTCCATTAATACAGACCAAGCCTGTGTTAACTATTAGTATCATTGGAAAATACCTTTTTGTCGAGCATATCTTTCAGACACCTCTTTGGCACTCACCAAGAAAATAAATGCCCTGCTTCTGTTGTTGCAGATATTTATTTATATTTATTATTTATAGATAGTGTTTATAATAGTATTTATAAATCTTTGCCCGCGGGTAGGTAGTTCTCATGGTGTTTAATGAACATGATAAATTCATATGTTTTCCTGTAACAAATGTGTTTGCAGGGGATGTGATCAGCCTTGGAGATCGACAGCTCACTGTCATGCACATGCCTGGTCATTCCAGGGGCAGTATTTGCTTACATGACAAGGACAGGAAGATTCTGTTCAGTGGGGACGTGGTGTATGATGGATCCATGATTGACTGGCTGCCCTACAGTAGAATCAGTGACTATGTTGCAAGCTGCCAGCGCCTTATGGAGTTAGTGGACAGAGGACTTGTGGAGAAGGTACTACCCGGGCACTTTAACATATTTGGGGCAGAAAGGCTGTACCGGTTAGCTTCCAACTACATCTCCCAGGCTGGAGTTTGTCACAAGATTTCTGCCTGTGCCATGAGATCCATTGCGAGCATAGCACTTCGCATTACAAATTCGAGAATCACTTCTCAGTGACAGTCAGTTTTGTGTGATTTGTTACCTTCTGTAAAATGAAATGGCTTGTGAAAGCATCGATACAAGCAAAAGCAGTATGCATTAGCAAAAAGATGGTAAATTGATACAGGTGAGCTGCAAAAATTCTCCTTATTTTTACCTCCTTTATTTATATTTTTATAAAAACTATGTAAGCTAGTAGCGTTAGCCAAAGCTACTTTTTGTTCTATTTTTTCAGGGCACTTTTGCACATGTATTGTGATTGAAATATGTTACTTTATTTTTGTTACAATTCTGACAGATGGATTTATGCCAAAATGGGAGGTTTGACATTCACACCTGAAACCTTGTTGATGTAGTACTAGGTTTGTGATTAGTCATCAACTCCTGCTCAGGTTTTGCTAATAGAGCTCTTGCTAAGACCTAGCATATGCTGGAAGCAACACCATTAGGACAAAGCAAGAGCAACACCTGTGCAGGACTCAGTAGGCAGAAAGAGGACATGGGCCATCCCACAGCCATTGCCACTTGTGGGGTGGTGTTTGCTGCACCCCTCATCACTTGCATCTTTATCTTTGCAAAGTACCTGTCTTGCAGTTTCTTTAGAATACACTAACATACGGAAATTCTATAGACCAAACTTCCAAGCTGGAAGTCAGAGATACATCAGCTTATCTAAAAAGTTTTTGGTGCAGGTCCAACAGCAGATGGACTTGTTGAGGCCTTCATGTTTCCTGGTGTGGTGCAAGGAACCAGCTGCACCAGGAGAGAGGAGCAAGCAGGAGCACTCTCGCCATTAGCTAGGGAACTGTTTTGCTTGTACGTGTGTGAGTTAGGAATTAGAGAATTTGTGAACTCATGAATTAATGTGTTAGACTAGCCTATACAAAGCAGATTGAGCCTTTTCTTGATGTGCTTATTTTTTTTCTGATGAGCTCATAAAAGTACTTATAGAATATGTTGGTTTGGAAGTTTGAGAGAACTGGACTGTGACAGGCTTAAAGGTTTTATTTGTGCTTAAGAGTATTTTTATGTGACTGTATTGTAACTTGGTTGTTGATGATCTTTGTTAGGGGAAGGATGGAGGCTTTCACATGGCCTTGCTATATTCCAGGGTACTGCATGAAGCAGCTGGTTGACTTTGTTACCACGAAGTGAATGTAATTTGAACTGTTTAGTGTTTGTGTCTGAAGTGTGTTTGTATCTGCACATGGTTTTTATGAAACGTAAAGTGTGTTGCATTTGAGTCTGTTCCAAAACAATGTTGAATACATTGAGAACTGCTAAACTAGATTGTAACTTGTTTATGAAAATTGAATGTGTGATATTTATAAGCTGTTGAAATGGTTAGTTTGTGCAATTATTCAAACAGTCTATATATATTTAACTTTTTTAAAAGGACGCTGTCTGATGTTATTTTTGTACATAGACATATATATGTTCCTAGAAAGAGTGCAAATGTTTCTCCCAAAGTTTAGTGCAGTTTAGCCTTTTTTGTTTGGCTTTCACTTTAGCAGAAACTTTTTCCCCCCATTATAGCCAATAGAAAGGGAGCCCAGAGTTTGGGCTCTTTCTAAGGCATGGCGGAGAGGAAGCTGATAGCCCTCTGAATAGGTGCAAATTCTGGTGAAAAAAGAAAAACAATTGCAAAATAAAAAACAGATCTGTCTAAAAATGATGAAAGAGAATATGTTATGTAGTGCTTTTTCCCTTTCACAGATCACTACACTCCTGCCTTTACGGTCTGAATATATTCTTCACCAGGATTTGTACTGATTGGCTGTGATGTGCCTAGTTCTTGTTAGCAGTGCCTATCTCCAAGCTGAAGCAAAATTATGAGTGGGCGAGACGTGCAGAGATGCAGCACATGAAAGACCTGTTATCACTCAGATCACAGTCTCTTTTTTTTTTTTTTTGAGAAATCCATGTACATCAGTGTATGACATGAGGAGAATTTAGTGGGTAAATTTATGTCTTAAAACCAAGAGCATTTTATCTTGGCCTCAGCTGACCAGAGTAAAAAAAAGTTAGCCTAGAACAGGCTGAGGAAATACGTAGCACTAAAGCTTATGCTAGTTATCCAGAGGAAGCCATGATGTCACGTGTTACCCAACAGTAACTGAATTCCTGCAAATTATCCATCTGCGGTGTAACACTAGTAATAATTGTGCTCTATGCTTTTGTGAAGGCTGTAGGAGCACTGGAGATAACCCTGTGCAGTATGGCAGACAGACAGAACTCTTGTGTCACAAAGCCTGCCAGTATGGATGTCAGTTGCTAAAATTTTGCAGACATTCATTAGGAGAGTGAGATCACTTTGAATTGGTATTCAGTATTATACCACTATAAATTTGTTTGTTTCATCCAATATTAGAATCTCTGTAGCCAGATTTTACTGTATTGTACAGCCTGAGCTGCTATGAGAAGACGCGTAGGCATGTAAATTCAAAAGGACAGATAACCTCCATCGTCTGTCGTTTGTGTTTAATTCTCTGCTCAGTATCTCTATTAGCTAAGATCTTTAAATGTCTAGATCACTGTAAAAATGCCCCGTTAAGCTGTGCTTAACTCCGTGAAGTATATGTTCATAACCAAAATTGCCTGGACTTTTTTGTTTACCAAAATCTAGGGGATAATTTTCTAGCTCAGAAGTGAGCTTTACATGCACATAACCCAAAACAGAGCTTGTTAGTAAGCTGCTGCTATAATCCAAATGAAAGTAGTTTTTGAGGGTCAGTAAATTATTTTTTGTATTATAAGGAATTCACTACTAGATAAACGGTATGTCTTAACTAAAAAGGACTGTGATTATTTTTGTTAAGACTTAGGAAATTTTAGTCATAAGAGTTTGACAGTGGTCCTTTAACACTGCTTGGAGTAAATATTTAAATCATGCATTGTAATTTTAAATATTGCAACATCTTAAGCATTTAGAACTGTGTTGATTTCTTTGTAAAATCCAACTGTATGTTAATACAGTTTTCAGTAGACTGGGGAATTGACATAAAAATCAGATGGGAAGTTTTGTTCTGTGATCTGTCAAGACTTGTGATGTTAAACAACAGTGTGCACATAAAAATTAATTTTTTCATAGATTATCATAATAAAAATATTATAATCCTATGCAGTTAAGTAATAATTTCTAGGTATTTTTCAAGAGAAGCACTTACACATTCTGGTTGGAGCGTATTTACAAGTTGCTAGCAGAAATGTTTATGCTTCTGAGCAAGAGACTGCATTAGAAATGTTTACCCATTGTAAACTTATGCTGCAAAGCTTATATAAAAACCATGAGTGAGTATTTCTTGAAAAAAACCACCACCTGTGAGCACAAATCAGAATTAGGTTTTCAGTACAATTCACACGCAGAAAACTTAGACATGATGAACATGTATATTTGGGGGTCAGTTTCAGTTTGTGGTGACACAGATTATTATTTCCACACAAGGCAGCAGCTAATGACAGCTGTATACTGTATTTGGAACACAAATGGTCACATGGCTTCTGTTGAGCTTGAAGTAGTGAGTCAGCGCCAAGTGCAGGGGGATGGCAATTTCCCTGGTCAAACCCCTACACTGTTGCTGATCCAAGTCAGGATGCTGTTGGCCACTGGGGTGCACGCTGGCTCATGTTCAGCTACTGTTGACCAGCACCCTCAGCTAATAATCAACAGATGCTATATTGTGAGGTAGTTATCTCAGATGAGTAAGGAGCCTTTGTAATGTTCCTAATACACATGGAAACGAAATAGTCACTTTAATTACTTCAGTTCTACAGCATCTCATTGTATTTTACATCACTAAACATTTGCTTTCAGTAAAATTTGCTTTTATGACACTATGACAGAAACATGGGATGTTTCTGCAAAAAAGAAGATTCTCTGCAGGGAAAAAGTCATCCTAACTGTTAAATCTTAGACTGTAGGATGCTATAAAGCAGAGCTCAGGATGAGCTTTAGAACAAGTGCTACTAAAGTCTAGCACAACACCTTGCCTTGTAAGAGAAGACATCTGTAGCCAAAGGGAAAAAAAAGTCATCTCTGTTATGAAGGAGAGAGGGAGATAAAGGTGGAGACAACCAACACTGTTTCAAGTTCTTATTTATAATTAATGTGTGTGTTACCTAAATCAGTAAGCAGTACCACTTCGGTCTAAACATGGACAAACTACTCTCCAAAACTACTACTTCTGCAGTCCCTTCACATTCAAATTGACTTAGGAAGCAGAGAAACGATCGAGAAACAATGAAAAAGCACTCATTAGGTTTTATTTTAAATTTATTTGAGGCTAAATTTGAAGTACAGGGGATTTGCTGGTTGGGCTGCATTCGAACTGCACTCCCTGTGCGGCACAGGGTTTTCCAGGGTACTCGGAAAGCAGTCCAGTGCTCTGAGGGGCATCATTAGTCCGGGCACTCTGGTGTGACGTTAAATCACGCTACCACTGTCTTATACATTAACCCTGCATTGCTGTGCGCGGTGTAATCGTACCTCGAAGTCAATCCGTACTTCTCCAATGTCCGCAGCGATGTCCCTTCCTGCCCCTCGCTCCTGCCCGCACAGCGCCGGTGTCCCGGCGCCACCTGGTGGCAGCGCCGCCCAAGGACAGGGCGGGGGCTACACTGACCAGGAAAATAGAACAGACAGGATTAGGGACTAAACTAGAAACCAACGGTGTTATAAACCTGCCCCTTGTTTTTGCTGTGCTACCCGAAACCGTCTTGAGCACATGGCTACTCCCGACTGTTCAGCTTTTATTGGGTGGGCTAATTTCACCTGTTTAAAAATTAATTTAATTGTTAAAAAATTAATTTAGTAACTGTCTGTGCATATTCCCACATATGCCCAACTGTGTCTTGGGATGGTGACGAGGCACTCAAAAGCGATTAAAATTGGAAAACACATAAAAGAACGTTGACACAGGAAGAAGGGCTCAGGACCTTAGCCAACACTTCTATGACTGTACCAGAGCTAGAGAGCCAGGTATTTCCTACAGGTTCGATCCAGATGCCCACAGAAATACATTTACAATCATTGAACTGGGAAGGACACATGGTATGTTTTTAACACAGCTTTATGTTTTCACACTAATTTTCATGCCACATGATTTACTGTAAGAGTGAAATGAACAAAAACTCGCTTGAACTTGCATGAAACCTGTACGCCCAGCTACTCCTTTAAAAAAATTTGGATTAATTTAATTAAGGTTCTGATATATGATCTGATTATGAACTGTTAAATGAAGTTTGTAATCTGCCCACTCAAATTCAGCTTGGGACGAGAGAATGGCAGGATGGTTTCAAATACTAACAAAATTAGGACTCAGAAAGGAAATACATTCACTCAAATTGAATACAGGTCTGGCAGACAGCCCCACAAATGACTTTCATATAGCAACAGATGAGTTTGAAGATTAATTAAAAGCCAGTTACAAAGTTTTTAAGTATACCTCATAATTAATTATTTTCTTTATTAAGATGGCAATACACAGGTATGGGGATACTAGAGATATTCTAATTTACCAACTCTACTCATAAGAAGTGATTTTAGGAGGAGTGTAGCCAACTTTGAAAATGTAGGGGTTTGCAAGTCACTGCTGCCGCAACCAAACCCCCATACTTATTTTTAAGTATTATTGTTTAAGCGTGTCTTTTCTGTTTTGAATTCCTTGCATCTCCATTTCACATGCAGTAGGAGCATTGCTGCCAGCTTTAATGAATTTACAAACAGTGGCAGTTTAATTTCTGGAGCAATTTCTTAGCTTATCTTGTAAGTCTAGAAGTAGAGACCTGAACATGGATCTCGAGTTCCCAGAAGCATGCTCAGAGAATCAGTATCAGGCATTTCACTCTACTTGACACAGAACAGCCAGGACACAGACGCTTCATGAGAGAGGACAAGCTGAAAGCCAAGGGCAATCACAACACAGGCAGGGATTGTTACCTCCCTGCAGAGTGCAGGGATGGTGACAGTAACCTGACCTCTCAGCATCCCAGTGACTGCCAGACAATGGCAAGGTGGTGACTCAAGTTCATGGCCAGGCCACAGAGTCTGGTCAATATGTCAGCCACAGCAGCACACAGCACAAAGGCAAGAATAACTCCAGTGCAGCTCAGGCAAGGACCAAGGGCCTCTATGCTGAGCTCCAGGATCAACATGCAGTGGAGGTGGGAGTGTGGGTGAAACAGGGCAATTTGGGGCTGTTGGTGCAGCCAGGTTCCCTGTACTATTCTCCCACAGTCCAGGTAAGTGTGCTCACCAGTTGGTTAATTCTTCCTTTTCTCTCTGGACATGTAAATATGTCGTATGAACCAAAAAAAAAAAAAAAAAAGGAATTTGTGATTATATTTGCACCACAGCACAGGCTGAGGGTCAAACCTGCCAGTGATTTATGTTTTTAGTTATAAAGCTACCATCTATAAACAGAGGTCTGTTACAAACCTCTTGCCTCTGCCTATTTGATCTGTGGACCAGAGATAATATGAACAGAGAGCCAAACAAGCCTCATCTCTGTTTGACTTTGTTCAGGAAAAATGTGTCTTGAGTGAGCCAAGCTCTTCCTATCCAAGAGTGTGCACTTGGGGTCGACCTACTACTGGGTTATTACTGGAAAACTAGGTGTCTGAAAGCGTAAAACACCAAGATATGCTGTCAGTCCTGAAAGGAGCAGGACTGAAATGCCTGAAAAAATTTTTCATTGCCTGAGTATTTCAGTGAATCTAGCCAGACTGCTTAACACAGTATTAGCAAGGATCTGAGTGTCATTATAGCCCAGCTATTAACACCAGATTGTGCTGCCACAGCTGGTTTTAAAACAGCCCTGTTTGTGAAGCAACGCACAAGGCACAGTTGTCATGTCACAGACCAGAGCACTGAGGCAGCACTTTTCATAAATCTGAGTTTTCTCACCAGTGATATAAGCATTTCCCCCACCCACAGATATATAATGTTGACTCACTGACTGTTTTGCAAGGCTCGAAAACATTTGTGTCAATGTTAACTGGAACTATACATTAAAATCTTCAGTCTTCACATAGTATGGATTGCTTTCCATGAAATTTGTAGTGAGGTAAAGTCTGTACAGTACCAGAAATGCTTCTCAAAGTGTCAAATGTTAAGCGTGCTCCTCCACAGCTTGGGAGGGAGGGAGGGAGGGAGTGGACAGGGCCTGGGGACCTCTCCAGACACAGTCATGGCATATCCATGTGACAGCAGGGCCATTAAAGATGTCGGCAAAAATCAGACATGTTACCTGGCGTGCAACAAGCCAGTGATTACACACTCGAGAGAGACATTGATATTTATTTCACAGCGGCGCAAGCCCAGGTCCTCAGTGAAGTTCCACAGATCAAGCACCCCAGCTGTCAAAACTTTTATACTTTTTAGCAAAGGTATTAATGTACGTTGGCTACAAGTTAAACAGTTCTCTTATTAATTTGTATCTATCATCTATTGGTTAATGATTCTCTCTCTTCTCATGCTAATTACTGCCATTCTGTCTCTTCTCTTGGGTCGTAGGGTGGGTTTCTTGGGTCGGGGGTCACAGATCTGCCCCCGGCGGAATTACTTTTTATTCAGCCGGAGCTAATCCAGCACAGTTGCTGAGCTGGCTTTATTAATTGCTTCTTTATCTTGGGGGTTCTGTCAAATGCCCTTAAGGCCCGTAAATTCAGCATTCTTTGTCCGAGATCATTGAAACACGTCGGGTCCTAAACCTTAGGAAAATTCCACATACAAGAAATTTGTCTCTCTAACACCTGGATATCATTTAAGAGCTGGCTTGTTAGTTCCTATCTGTTTCGCAGATTAAATCCCGTTTCTTGTCGACTAAGGTCGAAAGTCAAGATCAAACACCAACATCCTTTCTTAAGAACATGTTTGTATACTCCACAATTCGCAGCAGCAGCGGTGCCGCCCACCCCCCGCGCTGTTTAACGGCGCCGCGCGCACCAATCCTCGCCGCAGGGACTCCCCTCCCTCCGCCTTGAGTGGCAGCACTTCAACCAATAACAGTGTGCCTGGAGGCGGGAATATACCAGCCTGTGCCCAATCAGACAGCGGTCGGTTAGCAGGGGGCGTGGCCTGGACGGGGTGTCGCGTCTCCAGGGCAGGAGGCGACGGGGTT